AAACACATTAAACCTGCCATAAAGCTTCCCAGAACTCTGCTGACACACGGTCCACAGTGGGCAACACGCAACATCCAACAGCTGCAAACAAAACTAGAAGTCGTGTTGTGGCCACAAGAACAAAACCCCACTCTGTATGATACAAGCAGATTTAGAAGATCCTTTCAGATTAAAAGGAGGCGGTTTCTAACTGCTGCTTCTGGAAAACAATGACAATAGCAGTGCAGTTATCTTTGCACCGACGCTCCCGAACAGCTTCTCTCACAAGGCGGCGGCTCACAGCTGCAACAGATAAGCCCTCCTGCCAAACAATTGCAAATGTAAAACAAGCTGCTCTTGAAAAGCCTTCTAAGCCATCCCCAAGCATACAAAACCTTTTAGTCTTATGCCCACAAAATATCAACATAATATGCAACGGATATTTGGCACTTAATCCCAGAAACCCAATGGATACCACCTTGACCAACCTGAATTCAAAGCTGTGCGAATGCCATTAAAAGAACTGAAAAATTACTAAACTGCCCCTAAAAGTCAGCCTATCAGTGATATCAGCAGTCGGTAACTTTTACATCTTATTGATCTTATTTTGTCTCTCCTCCTTCCCTACTGGTTCTGAAGCTTCAGGTTCAGCTTCAACATTTCACTCTCTATTCCTGTTCTCTCTACCACCATCATCCATTGCCATTAGCGCCACTACCCATCCATTGAGCACCACAAAGCCACCATCACTGTCAATCACATCACAACCATCCTCCTATTAACACCAACTCATTACCACAAAGTCATCCTTCTCAATTAAATAGTTCATAATCAAGAAAAATATCAACTAGCTATAAGCGCGTGCGCACACACATGTGCACTCATATTTAATGACAGAGTCCTAGAAACGAATACATATATAGCTGCATATATGGAAAACTCCAGCCACATGCCCCTACAGATTACCTTAAATTCAAGGAAATCCTTGCATTATTTGAAATTTCACTGTCATCACCAACCCCTGTTAATGTCTGTCTGTTAACGAATAACTCGAATTGTTATTTTTACAAATTTGTTCGGAAGATATCTTTCGTCAAAAATACACACTAAAATTGGGGCCAGAGAGTTCAGAGAATTGTATCTGATTTAAGACGATTCTGAGAATTCTCAAAAAAAAGCCCCAACTCTCACAAAACTCAACTTAACCTTAATCCCAACTATTTGAGGTTGGCTACATGAATCCCACTCTATCAAAAGATCATATGTTCTATTAGACCATAAGCTATCATTTTTTTTTACTATTTCGTTCACAATTATTTTAGACTTACCTTCACTTTACCTCTCGCATTACCATCTACCTGTAACTCATAATATAACCTGAATTTTTGGGTGGTTTAGCAGAGAGAATGATGAGTTTTTTTTATGCTTATTTTTTTTAATATTGCATTTTTAGGGTGTTCATTCCAATGAATTGGTTTTTGATGATTAAACTGATTTTGGATTGATTGAATTCGAAACAATTGATTTCTGTTTATTAAATATGGTCTGACAGTAAGACTGGTTGAATTGGGGCAATGTGAAATTGTGTAGGCACATGCGTGCCCATGTCTCTGGGAGAGAGTGAGGTGGTGGCAGTATGGTGCTTTGTGGATGGTTGTGTTTGATAGTGTATTAATGGTGGACAGCATTGTATGGGAGTGTGTGGGTGGTAGACTGGTAGGTGAAGGTGGAGATGGACTGGTGTGTGTCCACTGAGTGGTGTGGTGTGTTGGTTTATTATAAAAAAAAAAAAAAAACCAACACACCACACCACTCAGTGGACACACACCAGTCCATCTCCACCTTCACCTACCAGTCTACCACCCACACACTCCCATACAATGCTGTCCACCATTAATACACTATCAAACACAACCATCCACAAAGCACCATACTGCCACCACCTCACTCTCTCCCAGAGACATGGGCACGCATGTGCCTACACAATTTCACATTGCCCCAATTCAACCAGTCTTACTGTCAGACCATATTTAATAAACAGAAATCAATTGTTTCGAATTCAATCAATCCAAAATCAGTTTAATCATCAAAACCAATTCATTGGAATGAACACCCTAAAAATGCAATATTAAAAAAAATAAGCATAAAAAAACTCATCATTCTCTCTGCTAAACCACCCAAAAATTCAGGTTATATTATGAGTTACAGGTAGATGGTAATGCGAGAGGTAAAGTGAAGGTAAGTCTAAAATAATTGTGAACGAAATAGTAAAAAAAATGATAGCTTATGGTCTAATAGAACATATGATCTTTTGATAGAGTGGGATTCATGTAGCCAACCTCAAATAGTTGGGATTAAGGTTAAGTTGAGTTTTGTGAGAGTTGGGGCTTTTTTTGAGAATTCTCAGAATCGTCTTAAATCAGATACAATTCTCTGAACTCTCTGGCCCCAATTTTAGTGTGTATTTTTGACGAAAGATATCTTCCGAACAAATTTGTAAAAATAACAATTCGAGTTATTCGTTAACAGACAGACATTAACAGGGGTTGGTGATGACAGTGAAATTTCAAATAATGCAAGGATTTCCTTGAATTTAAGGTAATCTGTAGGGGCATGTGGCTGGAGTTTTCCATATATGCAGCTATATATGTATTCGTTTTCTAGGACTCTGTCATTAAATATGAGTGCACATGTGTGTGCGCACGCGCTTATAGCTAGTTGATATTTTTCTTGATTATGAACTATTTAATTGAGAAGGATGACTTTGTGGTAATGAGTTGGTGTTAATAGGAGGATGGTTGTGATGTGATTGACAGTGATGGTGGCTTTGTGGTGCTCAATGGATGGGTAGTGGCGCTAATGGCAATGGATGATGGTGGTAGAGAGAACAGGAATAGAGAGTGAAATGTTGAAGCTGAACCTGAAGCTTCAGAACCAGTAGGGAAGGAGGAGAGACAAAATAAGATCAATAAGATGTAAAAGTTACCGACTGCTGATATCACTGATAGGCTGACTTTTAGGGGCAGTTTAGTAATTTTTCAGTTCTTTTAATGGCATTCGCACAGCTTTGAATTCAGGTTGGTCAAGGTGGTATCCATTGGGTTTCTGGGATTAAGTGCCAAATATCCGTTGCATATTATGTTGATATTTTGTGGGCATAAGACTAAAAGGTTTTGTATGCTTGGGGATGGCTTAGAAGGCTTTTCAAGAGCAGCTTGTTTTACATTTGCAATTGTTTGGCAGGAGGGCTTATCTGTTGCAGCTGTGAGCCGCCGCCTTGTGAGAGAAGCTGTTCGGGAGCGTCGGTGCAAAGATAACTGCACTGCTATTGTCATTGTTTTCCAGAAGCAGCAGTTAGAAACCGCCTCCTTTTAATCTGAAAGGATCTTCTAAATCTGCTTGTATCATACAGAGTGGGGTTTTGTTCTTGTGGCCACAACACGACTTCTAGTTTTGTTTGCAGCTGTTGGATGTTGCGTGTTGCCCACTGTGGACCGTGTGTCAGCAGAGTTCTGGGAAGCTTTATGGCAG